TCGACTACCACTACCACAACAGTAACCACGATGCTTCAACCAGCAATAGACGTCGACTACCAACACCACAACAGTAACCACGATGCACAAGGCATAAATTTTTTCAGAATATTTACTTTTGATCGTTTAGCTTTGATACCACGTTAAGTTTGTAGGATTAACATAATATTAGAGACAATATTTAGAGAGACACAGAAAGAGGTTAAAACTTAACTTAACTCTCATATATCACTTGTATTTATAGTTAACCTACAATAATAAGAATTACACATATACCCTCTTACTATTAACAATTTATACACACTACCCTACTATTCTTAACATACACAAACTGAAAAAAAAAATGAATCCATTAATCAAGTTAAATGCCAGTGTCACAAAAACAAAAGCAGCCATAAAAGACTCAACTTTGAGAAAAGAAACAAAGGAAAGAAGAACAAACCAAAGTATCTTCAGGTTCATTGGCAGGTGGCGGAGGATCAAATCTTCCCACACGGAAGTGCTCAATGCCAGTCCACGCAACCATTACACCTGTCAGATAAGGCAAAGACATTACCTTTCCGTATAATGCCAAGACCAATTTTTTTCAAATATTTGATATTTCCTCGGTTAGGTCCAAAAATACTATATATCGAAAATAGAACATCACACCAACTCAGCACATCCGCTGGGCTACCCATACTTTTCAACCTTACCCCATCGCCTCTAGAGAGGCTCAAACCCTGCTTTTCCCTATAGGTGATTGCCAAGAGAGATGCCACGGGGGGGCACAAGGGCTTGGGTACTACAGCTTACATTTTATCTACATGATNAAAGCTTTAGAACAAAAATCATTAGCAAGAGTAACACTACGAGTGGAAATAGTAGACTGATAAATAGAAAAGATGTCAAACGCACCAATCACGTGGTCAGAAATACCAAAATCTATGATCCAGGGACTACCAGTGGAGGACAACAAACATGTGAAAGCATTACCTAACTGGACAAAAGTAGCAGTGGAGGGTGATGGAACAGCCTGTTGCTAGGACAAGAACTGAGCATACTCCTCTCGTGTAATAGTAATCGACCTAGTGTTTGGTGGAGCTGACCGAGGTATGGAAACAACAACAGAAATGTCATCCTGATAGGAAGCCTGATTCGCAACACCAGAAGGTTTTCCATGTAAATTCCAACAGAAATCAACAGTATGCCCTCCACGATCACAGTGAGTACAGGAACGTGATCCACTACAGCCCCCACGACCACCCGTACGACCTCCTCAACCACCACGATTACCACGACCACCTCGAGGACCATCACTATGACTACTAGGTACCACAAGAGCTGAGCGGTCAGTGGAAACACCATGATTAATACCTGAAGTAGACAAAATAGCACGTTGTATACGAGAGAAAACCTCAAATAGTGAGGGAAAAGTCGAACCACCCAAAATCTAATAACGAATACCCTCATATTCAAGTTTCAAACCTACCAAAAACCTAACAACATTCATGTCCTCATGTTGCTTCTGCCAAACTGCTGCATCAGTAGTAAACGGATGATAGGTCTTCATCTCCTCATAAACTCCCCGAACGTGAAAGTAATAATCCTCAATGCTCAGATTACTCTCTTCCAATTGGAAATATTCCTTGCACACCTCATAAACTCGGGTAAAATTGCCCGCACCAGAATACACAGTGGTCAAGTACTCTCATATCTCCTTTGCAGTGTCAAGGTAGAGCAGAGTAGAACTAATACTAGGCTCAATGCTATTCAATAGTAAAGAAATAATTTGAGCAACCTCTTGTTCCCACTGATCATACCCAGGAGTATCTTCCTTGGGTTTAGGATTCATCAAATATTTCTTAAATCCTTTGCCTCGAAGAAAAACTTGAACAGATCGGGACCATAAAGTGTAATTAGTCCCATTAAGTTTGACAGAGGTCATAGAACCATTACTAAGAGTTGGAGGAGTCAAAGATGGAGTAAAAGCCATGGTGTCTTGCTTGGGTTCCATAAGAGTGCAGCAAATAGAAAATAAAAAGTGCTACAATATTGAACTAGAGAAAATTAGGTTACTAAAAGAGAGAACCACCGAACCGGACTCGTTTAGCCCAAAGGAGACTGTTGGAAGGCTGAACCGGCCTAGAGAACCACTGAACCGGACTGGTTTAGCCCTCTAGACCACTAAACCGGCCTTGCTGAAGCGCTACTGGAAGCCTGAATTGGACTGGTTTAGTCCTCTGGACCGATGAACCGGAGTAAAACCGGCCTGAACCGGACTGGCTGGACTCTCTTAATTTCTGAACCGAACCGAACCGGTCTAGGTTGAACCGAGTCTTGGGTTGGACCGTGGGTTGACCCAAACTGACCCAACCCTTTCTTCTTCTTCGCTGCAAGCGTTAGAAACCCTATTTTGAACACGTAAGTGGCACACACCACCGCCACTACTCAGGGCAGCCCAAACCCTAATTTCTGCACCACACCACCGCCACTACTCAGGACACACACCACCGCCACTACTCAGGGCACACACCACCGCCACTACTCAGAGCAGCCAACTACACAACCACGAACCAAAGTCGACTACACAGTGCCGACTATACAACGATGAAGCAAACCAATCAAGTGCCACCAAGTCGACTGTACTAACGTCGACTACCACTACCGCAACAGTAACCACGATGCTTCAACCAGCAATAGACGTCGACTACCAACACCACAACAGTAACCACGATGCACAAGGCATAAATTTTTTCAGAATATTTACTTTTGATCGTTTAGCTTTGATACCACGTTAAGTTTGTAGGATTAACATAATATTAGAGACAATATTTAGAGAGACACATAAAGAGGTTAAAACTTAACTTAACTCTCATATATCACTTGTATTTATAGTTAACCTACAATAATAAGAATTACACATATACCCTCTTACTATTAACAATTTATACACACTACCCTACTATTCTTAACATACACAAACTGAAAAAAAAAATGAATCCATTAATCAAGTTAAATGCCAGTGTCACAAAAACAAAAGCAGCCATAAAAGACTCAACTTTGAGAAAAGAAACAAAGGAAAGAAGAACAAACCAAAGTATCTTCAGGTTCATTGGCAGGTGGCGGAGGATCAAATCTTCCCACACGGAAGTGCTCAATGCCAGTCCACGCAACCATTACACCTGTCAGATAAGGCAAAGACATTACCTTTCCGTATAATGCCAAGACCAATTTTTTTCAAATATATGATATTTCCTCGGTTAGGTCCAAAAAAACTATATATCGAAAATAGAACATCACACCAACTCAGCACATCTGCTGGGCTACCCATACTTTTCAACCTTACCCCATCGCCTCTAGAGAGGCTCAAACCCTGCTTTTCCCTATAGGTGATTGCCAAGAGAGATGCCACGGGGGGGCACAAGGGCTTGGGTACTACAGCTTACATTTTATCTACATGATTCCATACAAAATGTGGAGAAACTCAAGAGAGAAATGACTCACCATTGTCGGTACAAAGACTGGGAGGAGGACACACAAGTTGCAAGCCATTTTTCTCGACAACCTGATTAAGCCTAGCCCTAACATACCGATTTGATGCAACACCTCCAGAGACTACCTGTAGAAAAGCAGATAAAAAGATTGGTGTCATGGACTACATTGTGCCAAGAAATAAACAAAAGATGTAGCACTCGGTAGGAATGTAGGATGGGTAGAACAAACTCAAAAGAGAGGAATGCAGCTAACATCACCAAATGTCTTATAGAAGGCTCAATCTTCAACGCCCATGCAATTGCCCGCTCACATTTTTCCTCTAGATGTAATACTGCAACTCGCTGCATGAAGCATTCTTTGTGAATGCATACAAAATAAAAAATTGAAGGAAAATATGGCAGAAGTGAACAACATATTATTTGTTAAAGTTTTGTGCATAGACTATTCTTGTGGTATTATAACCTGGAACGAGGCAGCAACATCAGCTCGTGAACTTCGGTCATGGCTCGTTGCTGAAGCTATGGGAATTTTGGCATTGCTGCACACAACCTATATGAATATTAACAGGTGGGAATACGAAAGAAAGAAAACATTTTGTTTCAGTGTCAGTGTGGTTCATCACTGCAGTAGAACATGATTACGGCAGTGGGCAGCAGAACCATTTGAAATAATGCACCTTAGGCAATATACGTTTCACCATCAATATTAAAGCTGAAGAGTACATTGACCTAATATGGTTGAAGAGGTAAACCCAAGCAATTCCCCAGAGAAATTTAGTATTCATTTAATATTTTGCTTCAAAGAAGCATGAATTGAAAGTTCAATATATATACAACATAGGGGCAGAAAAACTAACATTTGTTTAGGGCAAAAACTTAGTAAGAATTTGATAAAGTGAACTTTCTATTTATTCAATGAGAAGCAGCTAAGGAATATAAATTATTGCAAGTTAAAATCAATGCAATGTGACACACACAATGGAACCAAAGCAGAAAGCACATAAACAATGCATCATTTTGTGGCGCTGGTGTGCGCATGCATGTTCTGGGAATTAGTTTTTGCTAAGAATTATATTGAAGGTTTTGCTTTTATCAGAGGACAAACAAGAGTGATAAGATTGAACTAGTTCTTGTTACAAATTCTATTGAAGATTTTGCTGTTATTAAAGAAAAATGAGCGAGCTAAGATGGACAAGGTCACATTGCTAATCTCCCCCTACGCACCAAAAAAAGTCATACAGCAAAATAGGTAGACCAGGGGCACCATTGTGCATTAAGTTTTCCATTTACAAAATTTCATCCGCAGAAACAGAAAATCAATGCAGAAAGTTTGCACCTTTCTTTCCATGTTGATACATAACAAGAATATTCAGAACATTATTATTTAATCTCCCGTTTTCTTGCTAAAAATGGACAGCCAAATTACTTAAAACAGTAGCAGCGGTAGAAATAGCAACAAAAGAAGAGTAGCAACAGCAGCAATACTCATGATAATAGTAGTACAAGATGTACAAGACAAGGTGCAGAGTAACAGCAAATAAGAAAATGAAAAGAGAAAATCGCTTATCGGAGACATCTAATGATTGCCTGAGATAATTTACATACATATTTTTGGACTCAATAGCCAGCCTCACTTGAGTTTTCAGACCAGCATATGAGAAGTTGCAATCTTTATGTTGTTTCATGGGGACCTAAAAAAGAAATTGCACATTCAAACTCGCAATTCTGTGCAAATAACATATTCAAAAATCAGAAAGTTTCAAAAAAAGAAAGGCAAAATTTATGCACATCTCATAAAATGACTTACTCTGAATTTGACATATTCTGCATCACCTTCTAGAGCTAGCTCCTCTATAGCTGGGCCCCCACTCCTTCTCATATCAAGTCCAAGCCATTTTGCTGTCTTGTCATATGCCTCGCCAATTGCATCATCTATTGTTGTTCCAAGTTGAATGTAATGCCCAAGATCACGTGCAAGAATCAGAAGGTTGTGTCCTCCTAAGAAACAAAACAAGGAGAGAGCAAAGTTCATATTTTTCATGACCAGAAAAGCGAAAGGGACAAACACAGCGGTCAAGTTTATTATAACATATAGGACATGTCTATAATGGAACCACTCTTCTCTTTCCAAAGACCTGTCAACAAATGGACTAAAAGCTATGAAGTTTTCCTCTAGTACAGAAGTAAAGCATTTTGACAACACCAGGAACAAAGGCACTCTTCAAAACTTATGATAAGTCCACAGAAGTCTTACCTTCTGCCAGAAGTCTCTGTCCATACATTGCAAGCCATGAAAAGCCAATTATCCCATAAGACTCGTGTTTATAATAATTATCAGTTAACGTGATTTTCTCCCACTCCCTTTCTTACTCTCATATGTAGACAGCACACAGCAACTCATTTGCCCGCAAGATGCAATTAACCAAGCCTACACTAACGGACTAGGTTGCCATACCTGAGATAAGCAGTGCCATGAAAGGGAACTGCAACTCTCTTTCAGTTAACCTAGACAATATGCAGTGCATTAAATTCAGGCCAGCAATCAACGCAACATTTGAGAGCACAGACTAGCAAAAACAGTTACAATTCATGTATAATCATTTAATTGAAGTATAGGTACCTGGAACACGAGTTCATTTCTTAATTGGTTTTATTAGGGGGCATCCATCAAGTTATGCAGTTTGGCTCTTTAGGCGTGATACACTTAGTTTAGAATATTACAATCTTTGTGCTAGTTAATGTCAAAAACATTCCTATCTTGCAGTCAAGCACTGATAAAAGTAGAACCCTAGCTGCATATCTCTACTAGCTATATATTCCTAACATACAAATATACCATATTCATGATATTTCAATCGAATGGTCATTGTCACCGTCTTCTTCTACTACTACAGTTTTTAACCTTTGTTTAAAAAATACTCAGCCACCAGAAACCTTCGTTTTTAACCACAACCAGACCAGTTAGTTACTAGGAAGCACGCCCAAAGGGTGCCGTGACCTAGATCACACAGCGGGAGCAAGAGCACTAAAGTGGCAAAATTCAAAAAAACATTTGAATGANCCTAGACATCCCCAATGGCTTTGGATATGGTGCTAAAAGTCCCGAACTAAGGGAAAACTCTATGGAAGAACCCTTGCGCTCCAAAGCTGAAAATGTTTTGTCGTATACCGTGTCTATATCCATGCTTTTTAGGTTAGTTATCTAAAACACTAGTCCATTAACCTAATCGCATATTCACATCTNAACAGCGCTTTGAGAGCGTCATATATATATATAAGATAATAAAATCACTTCTAAAAAATTAAATTTCTAAATTTTGTTACTATTAATTTCATTTTTAAAACCATAGTGAATGATAAAAAAAAAAAAATGAGAGTTGGGAAGGCATTTGCCTTTGGACGTAACAAAAGAAGTTGGGAAGGCTGTGCCTTTGAAATAAGGAATCCCACNGACAGCGCTTTGAGAGCGTCATATATATATATAAGATAATAAAATCACTTTTAAAAAATTAAATTTCTAAATTTTGTTACTATTAATTTCATTTTTAAAACCATAGTGAATGATAAAAAAAAAAAATGAGAGTTGGGAAGGCATTTGCCTTTGGACGTAACAAAAGAAGTTGGGAAGGCTATGCCTTTGAAATAAGGAATCCCACATTGGTAGGAGCTGGGTAATTGGCTGCTGAACAAGCCTATAAAATAGGTAATGGCCTCACATTATTCTTCACTTTTTTAATTGTCTCGGCCTTAGCTGTAAACCAGCAGAGGCTGTCACATGATTTGTCCTTGCTGCTGAAGTGGCACTTTTTGGTCTTTGGACTGCTCAAGTGGCGCAGCGTGTTTTCTCTTTTTGCTAGTACATGTGGCATAGTAAAACATAAACTCATGAATACCACATTTGAGTTCGCAAATTCAACATTTTGAGTTCGCAAATTAATGGTGAATCAGCCCTTAAAAACGCGAATTAACGCTCGGATCATAAGAGTGCACCTAGTTTGACGCGAATCATGTGACTCAGGCCATGACAGTGTCGGATACTTGCAGTATCCGACAAGGACACGTGTCAAACACGACTAGAAGTGTCCTGAATAACGAACTCAGTCAGACACGGCCAAGATTTTCTTTTTTTCTATTCTATAACTTATATTTTATGAATTTTATAGGATGTAATGATTTTTGATAAAAATGGTGAATATTTTTTTTTTGGATCTATTTCAATTTTAGTCAAAAAATTAATATTTTCTAGGTCTCATTATTTATATTGTTATAATATATGTTTTACTTTAATTTATTATAACTCTATAAATATCTAAAAAATATATTGAATTATTTTAATGTTCGTATCTTTACTGTACTCATATCCTATATTTTCAAATTTTGACTTTTCAAATTTGACTGTTGAACAGGAGCACTCGGGATTGTTGAAGCGATGGGGCTACCTGGCATGGCTGCTGATTTTGATGTTGTTGGGATGAAAGAGATTTCTTTTGTTGCCCTAATTGAAGTGGAACACAGGAGTATTGTTGTAGAGGTGGTTGACTCTGAACTTGAGATTACTGGTAGGTTTGGGAGTGGAATTGTCTTTGCTGAAAAGCACGTTGTTGTTGTTGTTGCTGTTGCTGTTGCTGGGTTGTCACAGCTTGGACGATGTTCCATCTCCCCTTACATCCCCTTTGGTTGCCTTGAAGTTATTAGGGAACAAAGAGGGCCTGAATGCTAGACATCCCCAATGGCTTTGGATATGGTGCTAAAAGTCCCAAACTAAGGGAAAACTCTACGAAAGAACCCTTGCGCTCCAAAGCTGAAAATGTTTTGTCGTATACCGTGTCTGTATCCATGTTTTTTAGGTTAGTTATCTAAAACACTAGTCCATTAACCTAATCGCATATTCACATCTTTACATGCTTCTAAATTTCAGCTATCCAAAAAAGGGAAAAAAGTTGGTGTCGGTCCCACTCACGCAAGATGTTAAGGATAAACTGGACCAGTGTTTTGAAAAGCTCGCCTAGGCGCTCGCCTAGGCGAGAAGCGAGGCGANATGAGAGTTGGGAAGGCATTTGCCTTTGGACGTAACAAAAGAAGTTGGGAAGGCTGTGCCTTTGAAATAAGGAATCCCACATTGGTAGGAGCTGGGTAATTGGCTGCTGAACAAGCCTATAAAATAGGTAATGGCCTCACATTATTCTTCACTTTTTTAATTGTCTCGGCCTTAGCTGTANTGAGAGTTGGGAAGGCATTTGCCTTTGGACGTAACAAAAGAAGTTGGGAAGGCTATGCCTTTGAAATAAGGAATCCCACATCGGTAGGAGCTGGGTAATTGGCTGCTGAACAAGCCTATAAAATAGGTAATGGCCTCACATTATTCTTCACTTTTTTAATTGTCTCGGCCTTAGCTGTAAACCAGCAGAGGCTGTCACATGATTTGTCCTTGCTGCTGAAGTGGCACTTTTTGGTCTTTGGACTGCTCAAGTGGCGCAGCGTGTTTTCTCTTTTTGCTAGTACATGTGGCATAGTAAAACATAAAATCATGAATACCACATTTGAGTTCGCAAATTCAACATTTTGAGTTCGCAAATTAATGGTGAATCAGCCCTTAAAACGCGAATTAACGCTCGGATCATAAGAGTGCACCTAGTTTGACGCGAATCATGTGACTCAGGCCATGACAGTGTCGGATACTTGCAGTATCCGACAAGGACACGTGTCAAACACGACTAGAAGTGTCCTGAATAACGAACTCAGTCAGACACGGCCAAGATTTTCTTTTTTTCTATTCTATAACTTATATTTTATGAATTTTATAGGATGTAATGATTTTTGATAAAAATGGTGAATATTTTTTTTTTGGATCTATTTCAATTTTAGTCAAAAAATTAATATTTTCTAGGTCTCATTATTTATATTGTTATAATATATGTTTTACTTTAATTTATTATAACTCTATAAATATCTAAAAAATATATTGAATTATTTTAATGTTCGTATCTTTACTGTACTCATATCCTATATTTTCAAATTTTGACTTTTCAAATTTGACTGTTGAACAGGAGCACTCGGGATTGTTGAAGCGATGGGGCTACCTGGCATGGCTGCTGATTTTGATGTTGTTGGGATGAAAGAGATTTCTTTTGTTGCCCTAATTGAAGTGGAACACAGGAGTATTGTTGTAGAGGTGGTTGACTCTGAACTTGAGATTACTGGTAGGTTTGGGAGTGGAATTGTCTTTGCTGAAAAGCACGTTGTTGTTGTTGTTGCTGTTGCTGTTGCTGGGTTGTCACAGCTTGGACGATGTTCCATCTCCCCTTACATCCCCTTTGGNACATTATTCTTCACTTTTTTAATTGTCTCGGCCTTAGCTGTAAACCAGCAGAGGCTGTCACATGATTTGTCCTTGCTGCTGAAGTGGCACTTTTTGGTCTTTGGACTGCTCAAGTGGCGCAGCGTGTTTTCTCTTTTTGCTAGTACATGTGGCATAGTAAAACATAAAATCATGAATACCACATTTGAGTTCGCAAATTCAACATTTTGAGTTCGCAAATTAATGGTGAATCAGCCCTTAAAACGCGAATTAACGCTCGGATCATAAGAGTGCACCTAGTTTGACGCGAATCATGTGACTCAGGCCATGACAGTGTCGGATACTTGCAGTATCCGACAAGGACACGTGTCAAACACGACTAGAAGTGTCCTGAATAACGAACTCAGTCAGACACGGCCAAGATTTTCTTTTTTTCTATTCTATAACTTATATTTTATGAATTTTATAGGATGTAATGATTTTTGATAAAAATGGTGAATATTTTNCTCATGAATACCACATTTGAGTTCGCAAATTCAACATTTTGAGTTCGCAAATTAATGGTGAATCAGCCCTTAAAAACGCGAATTAACGCTCGGATCATAAGAGTGCACCTAGTTTGACGCGAATCATGTGACTCAGGCCATGACAGTGTCGGATACTTGCAGTATCCGACAAGGACACGTGTCAAACACGACTAGAAGTGTCCTGAATAACGAACTCAGTCAGACACGGCCAAGATTTTCTTTTTTTCTATTCTATAACTTATATTTTATGAATTTTATAGGATGTAATGATTTTTGATAAAAATGGTGAATATTTTTTTTTTGGATCTATTTCAATTTTAGTCAAAAAATTAATATTTTCTAGGTCTCATTATTTATATTGTTATAATATATGTTTTACTTTAATTTATTATAACTCTATAAATATCTAAAAAATATATTGAATTATTTTAATGTTCGTATCTTTACTGTACTCATATCCTATATTTTCAAATTTTGACTTTTCAAATTTGACTGTTGAACAGGAGCACTCGGGATTGTTGAAGCGATGGGGCTACCTGGCATGGCTGCTGATTTTGATGTTGTTGGGATGAAAGAGATTTCTTTTGTTGCCCTAATTGAAGTGGAACACAGGAGTATTGTTGTAGAGGTGGTTGACTCTGAACTTGAGATTACTGGTAGGTTTGGGAGTGGAATTGTCTTTGCTGAAAAGCACGTTGTTGTTGTTGTTGCTGTTGCTGTTGCTGGGTTGTCACAGCTTGGACGATGTTCCATCTCCCCTTACATCCCCTTTGGTTGCCTTGAAGTTATTAGGGAACAAAGAGGGCCTGAATGCTAGACATCCCCAATGGCTTTGGATATGGTGCTAAAAGTCCCAAACTAAGGGAAAACTCTACGAAAGAACCCTTGCGCTCCAAAGCTGAAAATGTTTTGTCGTATACCGTGTCTGTATCCATGTTTTTTAGGTTAGTTATCTAAAACACTAGTCCATTAACCTAATCGCATATTCACATCTTTACATGCTTCTAAATTTCAGCTATCCAAAAAAGGGAAAAAAGTTGGTGTCGGTCCCACTCACGCAAGATGTTAAGGATAAACTGGACACAAACATAGCCTCTCGCAATTTTTTTTGCACCAATAAACTAGAACCAACATTTTAATGCTTGAACAACGCTAGCACTTTACCATTGAACTAAGCATAGTTTCATAAGGGGCCTTCCAAAGGTTTCAAGCTAGATGTTAACTACTTAGTGCAAAAGTTCTTTCTTGCCATTTCGAACAACTCCAAAGAAACTCACCAAACAACTCTTCCGAGATTCCAGCCATTTAAAACCAATCCAATTCTAACCTTTTCCAGTCCACAAAGCTCATAACTACTCTTTAACATTCTCAAGCCCTGAACCTATTTGTTCCACACTTTCATCCATTATAAGTGTAAATTCATGCTTTTTATTAGATTGTTGGTACTTATCCACATCACCTATGAAAGACTCATCTTGGGAATGATGATTGGGAGGACATGGGATTCCACCCAAGATCAACTTTTAGGTCATGCCCATATAGAGAATTTGTAGTCACATTAACGACATTTTCCACATTGCACCCAACATATTGAAGAAAGGGCTCAATTGGAACATAATGCCAATAGATATGTGGTCCAGAAGTCTGATAAGCATGCTATTTTGCAAATGATAATTAGAAGATGCCCAATGAAATACCAAACAAATGTTAGATGCACCGATATCTATGAAGCACATCCAATGGTACCTGAATGGTGGGACGATTGGGTTCAAGAAACAGGTACTGAGACGTGGTACAATAATTTTTCCAATACGCAGTGCGACGGGGTAGGCTTAGTTGGTACGTTATTTTGGATCATAGTTCGATTTCTACCTTTTATCGGGATTAGTTTCATTATTATAAGACAATATATATAATGGCGTATCAATATGTACATATTATAATTTATTTCTGATAAGAGTTTCAAAGAAAATCATAATCTAAGACAATGAACCAACTAATGGTTGTCAATAATAAAACTATTGGTTGCATATTTATATTATAACAAATCAAAATATAAGTTTACATAGCACCAAAATAAAGAAATAATCAATTAGGGTAATATTTGGATGGGATTCAACTTAGGGTTTGAGCTACATTTGAGGTCGGTAATTTGGGTGATCTGGATCACGAACTCACTCCGTTTTGGAACATGCAACCTCTGTTGGTGGGATGCTTGGGGGTATGAGCGATCCTAGTAACTATCACTCTATGAGCACATCATACAATGGACAGATTTACATTGACCTAATGACTTCTAGATGTTAGAATCATCTTTTGACCAAATGCCATATTTTATACAGAGCTATGAACAGCTACTTGTGAAAAAGCTACATATCTCAACAAAGGAGAAGACAAAACAATGGTCAACAAGAAACAGGGGTGGTGTAAAGCATGCAGAGCATCTGAAAACCACATAAACTTAGGTTATATGTTGGGGAGACATGAAACATTNTGTGGTACAATAATTTTTCCAATACGCAGTGCGACGGGGTAGGCTTAGTTGGTACGTTATTTTGGAGTATAGTTCGATTTCTACCTTTTATCGGGATTAGTTTCATTATTATAAGACAATATATATAATGGCGTATCAATATGTACATATTATAACTTATTTCTGATAAGAGTTTCAAAGAAAATCATAATCTAAGACAATGAACCAACTAATGGTTGTCAATAATAAAAACTATTGGTTGCATATTTATATTATAACAAATCAAAATATAAGTTTACATAGCACCAAAATAAAGAAATAATCAATTAGGGTAATATTTGGATGGGATTCAACTTTGGGTTTGAGCTACATTTGAGGTCGGTAATTTGGGTGATCTGGATCACGAACTCACTCCGTTTTGGAACATGCAACCTCTGTTAGTGGGATGCTTGGGGGTATGAGCGATCCTAGTAACTATCACTCTATGAGCACATCATACAATGGACAGATTTACATTGACCTAATGACTTCTAGATGTTAGAATCATCTTTTGACCAAATGCCATATTTTATACAGAGCTATGAACAGCTACTTGTGAAAAAGCTACATATCTCAACAAAGGAGAAGACAAAACAATGGTCAACAAGAAACAGGGGTGGTGTAAAGCATGCAGAGCATCTGAAAACCACATAAACTTAGGTTATATGTTGGGGAGACATGAAACATTAGAGTTTTATCTCATATTAGTTGAAGAAAGCATACAATTAAAAACTTGGGCCATATATGTTTTACTTAGTTCGCATTATTACCTGGCTACTAAAGCATGAGCTTCCATGTGATGGACACCAACTATAGGTAGATTGAAACCACCAGCAATTTTCCGAGCTTTCTGTACTCCAACTACATGGCAGTTACATAAAGAAAATATAAGAATCCTATTTTTCTCATAAACAATATTAGTCCGACCACAAAATGTAGATCCAAGAGACATGACAACCTTGATTGCACTCAAAAAAGTAATATTAGTTACCGAAATAGCAGAACTTAAGTGTGATTTAACAAACAAACTACAAAATAACATCACACTTCCTCTACCTTCAGCTTTCCTTCTCTTTTCTATTTGGACACAGGAGGGCAGAGAGCAGGGGGTTGGGGTTGGGGTTGGGGCTGTTATTTGAAGCCTACTCCTACTAAATGGGGTCTACAGCAAAATACAATGAACTATAATTATGCTTAACAATAAATTACCACGAAGACAGAGACTTAAACCAGGACCAATAGTGACAGCAACAGCAGAAAGAGACCTCTCTGTTAATTTAGCTTTATCAAGGGCTTCCTGTACTACCTGCAATCAGAAGGCATTAGGAACGGTCAGAGCCAGGTATGAGGACACTCATAAAGTAACTAAAGCAAGAAAGAACAAATGAAGCTCATAGTATTTACGTCGGTTACAATTGATATGATGTAAGAAGTCAATAACGGTGTACTTGATGAGAGGCAATAACGCGTCTCAGATAAAACCTCCAACGATGCAGGAACAGGTTTTGAGATGGCATCAAAGAAACATTTAAACATTAAGAATAAAGACAGCCCAGTATATGATACCTGATCAATGACTTGTGAGTGTGCTTCTTCTGCCATTTTAGGAGCAACTCCTCCATATTTGGCAAGCAGGTCAGCCTTGATAATAAAAAATCAAATTATGCAAAATTACAATGACAGAAACAATAATTAATAGTTCAAAACATACCCTAATCTGTTTATAAGCATGATGCTATTTCAAAAAGACTACATCGTAAGAACAATTTTTCTTGGGTCCTATGTTCATGTATATAATACCTGAGAAGACACAACTTGACTGAGAATTTCACCATTACTTCGAACCTATATTTGGCAAAAACAGCACAAAATAACCAAATTCCATAAAAGAATATCAAAATAACCAAATCCCATAAAGATTATCAAAATAACCAAATCCCATAAAGATTATCAAAAGCGCATACACAGTTACATACGCACACAACTTACAACGGCGGCGGCGGTGTCGTCACAGCTGGTCTCGATGCCCAAAACAATCAAATCACCATCTAGAGTTGATGGGTTTCCGATATGGGTCTCTTGGGAATTGAACTTCGAAGTAGACATGAGAGCTGATAACGAACTGAATGAAGATTTGACAGGAGACCAAGTGGGTCTTCGTAGTTTTGGGTGTAATTGCGATTTTCTAAAAGCGCCTAGTGTGTGGTGAAGTGAGGGTTTGGGAAGGAGGTTTAGGCGGGAAATTGTAGAAGAAAGTGTCGGTACCAAAGACGCCATTATCTTCCAGAAAGCGATATCAAGGAAGTCCATTTGTTCGCTCTCTTTCCCTATTTTTATTTTGGTGGAATCTCACTTTGCACCCCCTTAAAAAAAATTTATTTTACACCCTCAAATATTAGATTTTTCATTTTATACCTTTAACTTTAATAAAAATGTTATAATATGGCTATTCTATTAATTTTAGTTATTTATTATGTCAAAAATTACTCTATCTAAGTTGACAAAATAAGTAACACAAATTAACAAAAGGGCAAAATTATAACATGAAAAATTTAATAATTGAAAGGCAAAGTAAAAATTCTTAAATCTTTCTTCCCTTTTTATTTTTCTTTCTTTTCTATTTTTTTTTTGTTCAACGGTCATAGTTTTGGGTCAACTTTCGTGCACTTCAATTAATTCCCTTTTCAATTCAATCAAAAATCGACTATTCACATCAAAATTAAAATATTTATAAAGGTTAAATCACTTGTGACCTGGTCATTCCTTTATCTTTTCCATTCCGTTAACTCCTTTTCCTAGTTTACCAAACACAGGGTTCACAAAAACATTTTTGTAAAATGCCACTTTTTTAGCATTTTCACACCTCATATGTTGTATATTTATAATTGAGCCCCAAATATTTTTGTCTTATTGGCGGTTGCAATTTAATATAGAAATTTCTAAACACAATTACATGCTATAATTATTCCAAATAAAAGACTATTAAGGTTATGAAATTTACAGCTAAACGGAGTTGTCCTTGTCATTCGGGCTGAGGGTTCAATTGACTTGGGGGTCGACTACGCAAGGAAATATTTAATGTAACAGGTAGACTACCTTATCGGTGCACGTGGTGTCATGATCGGATAGAAAATAGATAAAAAGAACCTCATTGTTTACATTGGTGAGTTATTACATTACATCGGTGGGTGATTATTAAAATTTGTATGATTTATTTGGTTATTTATTCACTTATTAGTAAATATTAAGTGATTATTAAAATCACGTGTCATTATTGAGTTGATGTGACGATTTTACAAACAATAGATCAGGCAAGGAGGGTTTTTTTTTTTTTTTTTTTTTTTTTTCAATTTTTTTATTATAAGTGTAACTTTTTTTATTAATTTTGTGAAATGTGAATGGTATTTGCCGAAAATTGTTTTGGACCATTAATTATAAATTAAATAATCTATAGCTATTGATTGGAAAATAATTAAATAGTAAAAAATAACAAAGGTAAATATACACCTTACACATTTTTATTGATAAAAAAATATAGATATGATGCCGAAAAATATATTTTGGTACCGTAACATTTTTATTTGGTACACATTGTTATTTCATGTATTTCATAAAAAAATGTATTTTGGTACCGGAACTCTCGCCCTTATTAGATGAGTAATAGCCGAAAAGCTAGTCTTCAAAGGCTTGTTTGGTATGTTTTTTGGGAGAATTTGGATTGACTTGTCTAAACTTGGGTTTGACCAAAGATGAGATTCAATATTCAATAATGTTCATACCCGTGTTTGGTATGTGTAGGGATATATGACTATTATGATAATATATTTGTATTTAAATAACTATTATGCCCCTTAAGTAATTTAATCCAAACATGAGTATGAATATCTGAGGGGTATAAATATCATTTAAATGTAAAATCTCAAAACCCACATATGAAACCCCCTCCATGGGTTTCAAGAAACCCATGAACAAAGGTTTCATGACCGGGCCGAATTTTAAACCCTAAGCTAAATCCATAACTATCAAATATGAGTTTAAGGGGGTTTAGTCTTTAACTCATGTTCCAAACACCCCCCCAAAACTCACATACCAAACAGCCCCCTAGTGTTTAGATTAATTGTCATTTTAATGGTTAGGAGTATTTGGGTTAATTTATGCGCACATCGATAATTTTTTTTCTTGTCTGATCAAAGGTAGGTCATTTATGTCTGGACTAGAGTATTTATAAGAAATACATTTCTCATAATCAGGGCCTAAGGGATTATCAAGATTCGAATTCAGAACGTCTGAATTTACAGTTCATTCTTATTATCACTTGGGCTATTACTTTGATTTAATGTCCAATTTGGTATGGGTAAAAATAGAATGGATAAAAAATAGTGGTCGGAAAGAGAATAAAAAATATAATTTTCTTTTATTTGGTAAAAAGAAAAGATGAAGGAAAAGAAAAAAAATATGTAAAAACAATCCATCCAACCCACCATTTTTTGGTGGATAATGACAACACTGACAGTTTTTTTTGATCAAAGACAAAATATAACATTTCTACTTANAGTCCATTTGTTCGCTCTCTTTCCCTATTTTTATTTTGGTGGAATCTCACTTTGCACCCCCTTAAAAAAAATTTATTTTACACCCTCAAATATTAGATTTTTCATTTTATACCTTTAACTTTAATAAAAATGTTATAATATGGCTATTCTATTAATTTTAGTTATTTATTATGTCAAAAATTACTCTATCTAAGTTGACAAAATAAGTAACACAAATTAACAAAAGGGCAAAATTATAACATGAAAAATTTAATAATTGAAAGGCAAAGTAAAAATTCTTAAATCTTTCTTCCCTTTTTATTTTTCTTTCTTTTCTATTTTTTTTTTGTTCAACGGTCATAGTTTTGGGTCAACTTTCGTGCACTTCAATTAATTTCCTTTTCAATTCAATCAAAAATCGACTATTCACATCAAAATTAAAATATTTATAAAGATTAAATCACTCGTGACCTGGTCATTCCTTTATCTTTTCCATTCCGTTAACTCCTTTTCCTAGTTTACCAAACACAAGGTTCACAAAAACATTTTTGTAAAATGCCACTTTTTTAGCATTTTCACACCTCATATGTTGTATATTTATAATTGAGCCCCAAATATTTTTGTCTTATTGGCGGTTGCAATTTAATATAGAAATTTCTAAACACAATTACATGCTATAATTATTCCAAATAAAAGACTATTAAGGTTATGAAATTTACAGCTAAACGGAGTTGTCCTTGTCATTCGGGCTGAGGGTTCAATTGACTTGGGGGTCGACTACGCAAGGAAATATTTAATGTAACAGGTAGACTACCTTATCGGTGCACGTGGTGTCATGATCGGATAGAAAATAGATAAAAAGAACCTCATTGTTTACATTGGTGAGTTATTACATTACATCGGTGGGTGATTATTAAAATTTGTATGATTTATTTGGTTATTTATTCACTTATTAGTAAATATTAAGTGATTATTAAAATCACGTGTCATTATTGAGTTGATGTGACGATTTTACAAACAATAGATCAGGCAAGGAGGGTTTTTTTTTTTTTTTTTTTTTTTTTTCAATTTTTTTATTATAAGTGTAACTTTTTTTATTAATTTTGTGAAATGTGAATGGTATTTGCCGAAAATTGTTTTGGACCATTAATTATAAATTAAATAATCTATAGCTATTGATTGGAAAATAATTAAATAGTAAAAAATAACAAAGGTAAATATACACCTTACACATTTTTATTGATAAAAAAATATAGATATGATGCCGAAAAATATATTTTGGTACCGTAACATTTTTATTTGGTACACATTGTTATTTCATGTATTTCATAAAAAAATGTATTTTGGTACCGGAACTCTCGCCCTTATTAGATGAGTAATAGCCGAAAAGCTAGTCTTCAAAGGCTTGTTTGGTATGTTTTTTGGGAGAATTTGGATTGACTTGTCTAAACTTGGGTTTGACCAAAGATGAGATTCAATATTCAATAATGTTCATACCCGTGTTTGGTATGTGTAGGGATATATGACTATTATGATAATATATTTGTATTTAAATAACTATTATGCCCCTTAAGTAATTTAATCCAAACATGAGTATGAATATCTGAGGGGTATAAATATCATTTAAATGTAAAATCTCAAAACCCACATATGAAACCCCCTCCATGGGTTTCAAGAAACCCATGAACAAAGGTTTCATGACCGGGCCGAATTTTAAACCCTAAGCTAAATCCATAACTATCAAATATGAGTTTAAGGGGGTTTAGTCTTTAACTCATGTTCCAAACACCCCCCCAAAACTCACATACCAAACAGCCCCCTAGTGTTTAGATTAATTGTCATTTTAATGGTTAGGAGTATTTGGGTTAATTTATGCGCACATCGATAATTTTTTTTCTTGTCTGATCAAAGGTAGGTCATTTATGTCTGGACTAGAGTATTTATAAGAAATACATTTCTCATAATCAGGGCCTAAGGGATTATCAAGATTCGAATTCAGAACGTCTGAATTTACAGTTCATTCTTATTATCACTTGGGCTATTACTTTGATTTAATGTCCAATTTGGTATGGGTAAAAATAGAATGGATAAAAAATAGTGGTCGGAAAGAGAATAAAAAATATAATTTTCTTTTATTTGGTAAAAAGAAAAGATGAAGGAAAAGAAAAAAAATATGTAAAAACAATCCATCCAACCCACCATTTTTTGGTGGATAATGACAACACTGACAGTTTTTTTTGATCAAAGACAAAATATAACATTTCTACTTTTACTTAAAAGTAGAAATGTCATAGTCGTCATATAACCCACACACACACCCAAAGGCTATCCGATGTGGAATAGCCTCAGCCCATCACCATCCTGGCCCAAAGGCCTCCCCGTTCATAGATAAGCCTAAGAAGGATGTAGCTGAACCTACATGGGACCCACCCTAAACACACACATGTTTTTTTTATCAAAGACAAACTACAACATTTCTACTTAAAAGTAAAAATGTCATAGTCGTCATATAACCCACACAAACACCCAATGGCTATCCAGTTGGTTAACATGCGATCCACAACTTTTTATGTAGTGGTTAATTACCATGTACTCCTATGAAGCTCATGTCTTAAGCCAATACATTATTCATATTCTATGAAGAGTTTTTTGATATTTCATTAATAATAATGATAATGCTCGAAATTACTTAGCCCAAGTATAGAATGATGGTTGTGCAAGATCCAGTGGGGGTAGTGTGAATATTTAGGTAAATAAGGAAGTAAGAGATGATGTTTAACAAAAAATAAGATATAAGTGATTTACTTCAGCCGAAAGACTAAGGTTAAATCCAATGCAATAGAGAATCTTGTTCTTTGGGGTTTATATTGTTTGAAGAAAAAGATTACAGTGAATTTCTTGGCTTTAAAGCATTTGTATACGGTGTCTTGTGAAATACAATTTTCTAGAACTCTCTTATATAGTGCATCTGTATGCTATTTATACATATGATTTTCTAGAGTTTTCTATGATTCTTTTTTTTTTTGATTGATTCTGTGATCCCCTCTTCCTTGGTCATGTAATGGTGTCTGTCACCCTGACACAAGTTATGTTTATAATCTTTAAAACGGTATACATACAAATATTTCCTTTATCAGGGAGTGCGTGTTCGTTAGGGGCTCTAGAAGCTATCCCTTGGACACGTGGCGTGACAAGAGATGCTCGGGATCTAACGCATATCGAGTTCTTTGTTTTCGGGCTGCTCTTTGCCGAGCTTAATGTGGCCAAACAAGTATATATCGATGGGCGTCATTAAACTCCCTTCTTTGGGTTGTAGCACTTATGGCCCATTCCTACGACAGGGTGGGCAGACTACGAATTGACTGTTTGGGCTACCATGTAACCAGGGAATCTATTGGGTGTTTTGAACTTTTGATAGGCAGTGCAAACCAAAATCTTACATTATCAAATAATATTTTGTTATTTTTTAATACCAAATAAGATAATAACAAATCTATTCATTTCACTTTTTTATCTTTCTTACCAAATACAAAAATAAAAAATATCTTATGAGGATTAAAGTTGATCTCTTATATATATTTTTTCTATCTTTTTAACTTTTCGTTCCTTCTATTAAATGGACTATAAGGGCGAGTTTTACTGGTGGCTGTCATGCAGTTCTGGTGTTTTCATAACAAGTACTCCTTTCCCAACATATTTTACTACTCTATAAATCTCTCTCTCTCTCTCTCTCTCTCTCTGTATTTTGAGAACAATGGAGACAAAACAACAGTCCGGTACTAATGTTGCAGCTTCTGCTGCTATCTGCAATGACTTCCAGGTACAATGACAAATCTCCCTTTGTATAGATTTTGATCTCTCTCTCTCTCTCAGCGTTTACATGTACTTGTGTGAGTATGTCGAATAGTTTTACTTCATCATTCTCTTCTTCTTGCACAGTCTTCTTGTCTATCATTGCCATATTCTTTTTTGATTTTTACCCTCAAAACGTGACAACATGGGGTGGCTCTCTTCCTACCGGGAGACCTCTCCACAACCATGTCCTTGTCCGACAAATCTATCACATGGGTAGCTCTGTTAGTTTCACTGTCAGGAGGTAAAAATTTCTAACTTCTCCATATCTTGCATTTTTCAAAGCCCAGAATCGAATACGGAATATCTGTTTTCCATATCTTGCATTTTTCTCCTCGATCCAACAAAAGATACATTCTATCCACTTTAACCTAGGATCCTCAGTTTTAAATGGAGAAAAAGATATTGCTTTAATAGATGGTGATCTTCTCCCAACACCTTTACTCACTCCTAATAAAGATACACTCTTTTTTGCTCTTTTCTGTTTTTCAAGTTGATATACTATAAATGTTATAATAGTCGCAATATATTCATTTGAAAAATGTGATTTGTACATAACTCTTAGATTAAAAGTGATTTTCACCTAACATTAAAACTCACAAAAAATGAGCTTTTACCTAACATTAAGACTCACAACAATTCTATTGGCCGTAACGAATTAAGTTTCTGATTTGGACCATGCATATAGCATTGCTCTATTCTTTTTACTAGCTCTTTTCTATTTTTTCAAGTTGACATATTATAAAAGGTTGTAAAGTGGCATAAAATTAGTGCCTAGTTCTGTTGATGCTCTCTATAGATAGGGGCATCATTATACTTGAGATAAGAACCATCATTGTAGAACCACTACATAGAAATTAGTGAAACAATCATTTGGTAATAAAATTCATATCAAAATCCAAGTGAATTAATAAAAGTAGATTTCAAAAATGAATTTGGCAGTGAGTTTGAATGAATAGTTCCAATCCAAAAAATAGGTAGGTGGAATGATGGATCTAGGAGACGAGCGGGGACAATCACTTATCTTAATGTCTAAAAAATTAATAGCAAGGTATCTAGATATACTCTAATATACCTTTTTTTTTAGAAGTCATCAATGCTAGATCACTAACCAAAAATCAAAGTTATTGGACTCACTTTCTTCAAGTGGGTCCATCTTCAACATACATTGAACAATCTATGAGAAAAATTCAAAAACATGTAATTAAGGAAATCCAGGGCTTAGTGAAGTAGAATTGGGGGGTCGCGCTCGACGCATCCTTTCTTTTAACCTTATTAGCACTAGTAGGTAGGATGAGCCAGTTAATTGGCCTCCAATTGTTGATGTAGTTGCTTATATCTAATCAGCAAGGAGTTTTCATCCGCGCATGGATAAATGAAATTTCGCATGAAAAAATATATATCACATTTACAAATGTGATAAATAGGTACGGAGTTAAAGTTGATCAAAGTTAAAAAGTTTAATGTTGTTAAATATGAACAAATTGAGGTATAGATTGCCAGGTGTAATAAAGTCGTAATCAACCTTAACAAAAGTTTCCTTACCCGACAGTACTAGGTATTGTAAAACACTAATAAAATATTGTATATTCTCAATGAATAATTCTATCAATTTGTCACAATTTTTTTAGAAAAAACCAACTTATGTGTCTGATAAATTAGTTTTGTGACAGTTTCTCGTTATGTATGTATAACACATAATATTACCAAACCTAGTGTAAAACCCACTCAAACTTTTCTCCTTTTTTTGTTACTTGTTGTGGCTATCACAGGATGGGAGCAATAGGCTTTCGGACCCATGCACTAAAGATGGGTCGATTGATTGGCGTGGAAAATTTGCAATCAAGAGAAAAACTGGTGGATGGAAATCTGGAATGCTTTTGCTAGGTATTTCCTGTACTTCTATTTTGGTTAATGCTTTTGTAATGGTAAATTATACTTTTTACCATTAAAGTTTTACCCATTTTCTACTTTGGTCCTTAAAGCTTAATAAATGTCAATTTCATCCTCCAACTTTCTACAAGTTTTTTCTTTCTTTTACAATAATTATACGTGAAATTATCGATCAACATACACTAAGCGATGTGAGACTGAGTCATCACCGTAGTTGACAACTAGTATGCCTTCTATTATTTGTTTGGTTCAGTGAATGAAGGACTGGCCATAATTGCATTTACTGGAGTGGAAGTGAACATGGTTTTGTTCTCAAAGACTGTACTGAGGCAATCAAATGCTGAGGCAGCCAATATGTTCAGCAGGTGGATGGGAACTCTTTACATATTCTCTTTGTTGGGGGCTTTTCTCAGTGATTCCTACTTGGGAAGATACCTCACTTGTATCATATTCCAGGCTGTTTTGGTTATTGTAAGTGAAGATATACCTCACTTAGAAAGAAATGTCTTTTGATCCCTCAATTATGTCTCATGCATATCTCATATTATCCATCAAATATCGTGTTTCTCACATTGCACCCTCAAACTGTGGTTATTGATTTTATAAGTTCTGATTTTATACGTTTGCTATGAAATTAGATGAAATGTTGTGTCTCTTTATTTCTCGATTATGATGTTTCATCATCTGCAACACGACGATTTTTATTTTTTGTCACCAAACAAATCATTAAGTTGATTGAGACTTTCACATTTCCGTTGTTCTTTGTATGCCTCAATGTACCAAAAGTTTGTTGTTAAAAGCTTTTTATTTATAATGTTTTGTAGGGTCTGGCAACATTGTCTTTGTCAACTCATGCATTTATGCTGGAACCCAAAGGTTGTGGCAGGATAGGAGAACTATGCAACCCTCACACACCAGCTGAAACATCAATTTTCTACTTATCAATTTACTTACTAGCTTTAGGAAGTGGAGCTGTAGAGCCTGTACTAGCAACATTTGGTGCAGACCAATTCGATGAAGATGACCCTGAAGAAAAAAAATCGAAAACTGCATTTTTTGGCTACTTCTACGTTGCCCTAAACCTTGGATCCTTGATCGCGGAGACATTTCTGGTGTATTTGGAGAATATGGGGAAGTGGGTGGTGGCATTTTGGATATCTACTTCTTGTGGCTTTGTTGCATTGATTTTACTACTAAGTGGGACTTGTAGATATAGGCATTTCAAACCTAGTGGAAATCCCATCTCTAGGTTCTCTCAAGTAATAGTGGCTTCCATGAGAAAACTGGAGCTTGAAGTTCCCTCACTTGGAGAAGGGCTACATGAAATTCATGGAAGGGATGAGAAAGATGGTACAAGAAGAATACTCCATACCAATGATTTCAAGTAAGCAAATTTAAATTCACATATATATATATATAAGATAAAATACAGTACTGGTCTTTAATTTATTAAAGGACCCTATTATGATGTGAGATGTTACTAATCAACAATCAATTTTGTCAATGATATCCCGAAAGTTTTTAGTTTAAGTTTAGCAGCCCATCAAATTGCTAACAAAAAAATGTCACATGCATGTCACAGAATGTCATATGCACTTGAGCAAAGTAATGGATAAAATTAATAATGAGGGACAAAATTGAATTTCTAGGACACGTCCTAGTCCAAATGTATATTTAGTCAATCACTTTCTGTTGGGGATTTACATATTTATTTTTGAGTCGACCATTTTCAAAATAAAAACTTTGAGCATTAAAGTGACAAAATTAACAAAGTGAGACGAAATGCATACTCAGCGGATTAAAAATGTATCTTACCCAAAAATTTACATAGTAAATTTTTTGAATATGCCAAAAAATTTACATAGTCATTCTAACTTTCTTTTTAATTTTTGAATATGCCAATCTTTCTTCAAATTTTTTTTTTTTTTTGTTTTGGAATTCACAAAAACCTGTTGATTCAACCACAGGTTTCTTGACAGAGCGGCCATTATCACCCCAAAGGACATGACCTTGACATCAACCAAAGGCCAAGCTCCAAATCCATGGCGTCTGTGCACTGTCACACAAGTTGAAGAGGTAAAATGTGTACTGAGACTACTACCAATATGGTCCTGCACCATGTTATCGTCCTTGGTGTTCATTCAAATGATTTCTCTCTTCATCGAGCAAGGTGCCGCCATGAACACACTGGTCTCGACCTTTCATATCCCTCCGGCTAGCATGACT